CTGGAGCAGAACTGGCTGGAGAAACTCTCTGAATGTTCTAGAAAAAGCAGCAGCCGCACATGGTGCTCCTAATTTTTCTCACATTTTTTATTTCTCTCAGCCAACTTGCAACCTTTAGCTCACTGGTATCACAATTTCTCAGATGTGATCTAGAATCTGTACCCTTCCCCAAATATGAAGAATAAAATTTATCAAAGGATTTTATTTTCAGTGAGACTTTTTATTTAATAAACACATGTGTTAAATATGAGACTTTGTGATGACTTTATAAACTGGGAGTATATACTACCCAACAAATACTCTTCACTCATTTCAAAAACTGTTTAATAAAACTTTATCCAGTCAGAATAAAACTGAATTACAGTGGGATGCTTATTGCAAACTGACAATTGGCTTACATACATTTCAATTATTAATTCTCAGTGGTCAATTTTGGAAGAATAATAACTAAAAAAATATAACATACCATACATCAAGATAACATTTTAAAAACAAGTTAAAATATTTATTAGCAAAGGGATTCTTAGGGTGGGAGTAGGTGGATGGAAAAAAGCAACATCTCTTGCTTGGCAAAACCTGTATACTGAAACAGTAAGCTCCTGTTTTCTTTGGCCACAACCAAGGTGCAAATCCTATTTTAAAGCTTTTAGCACTTTAAAAGTTCCTGACTTTATTGCTATGGCTAGTCAAACAGATGCAGAGGGCTTTCAAGAACTTCGACTACTAATAGACATTGTTGTAATGTGCCGTTGAGTTGCTTGCAACTTATAGTGATCCTATCTATGTACAATAGCTCTGAAATCTGCTCTATCCTGTGCCAACCTTATTCTCTGACACACCTACTCGTATTACCCCCGTCACTGAATCAGTTAATCTCATCGAGGGTCTTCCTCTCTTGTGTTGTCTCTCCACCCTTATAAGCATGATGTCCCTCTCCAAGGACTGGTCCCTACTTACAACATGCCCAAAGTATGTCAGACAAAGTCTCAGAATCCTTGCCTCCAAGGAGCCACCCGTTTTCACCCTCTCTGGGACAAACCTGTTTATTCTCCCAGCAGTCCATGGTATATTCAATACTGTTCTTCAGTACCACCAGCTCAAAGGCATCAGTTCTCTTGCTGTCATCCCTAGTCATTGTCCAGCTTTCTGACGTAGAGCAAGTAATTGCAGAGACTATGGCTTGGATCAGGTGCACCTTAGTCCCCAGACTGACATCATTGCTCTTTAGGACTCTAGAGAGGTCCCTGACAGCAGACTTTACAAGTGCATTTCATCTTTTGATTTCCTGGTTGCAGGTACCAAGAGAATTGACTGTGGAGCCAAGCAAACTAAAGCTGTTAACAATCTCTCAATCTCTTCACCATCTTCTCATAATGCTGTCAGTTGGCCCAGTGGTGAGAATCTTGGCCTTCTTGATGTTGAGCTTCAATCCATATTCAAGGCTGCAGTCCTTGCCCCTCTGCAGGAAGTGTCTCAAGTCCTCCTTAGTTTCAACAAGCAAGGTTGTGTCATCAACATAACACAAGTTGTTGATGAGTCTTCCTCCAGTCTTGATGTCACACTCCTCATAGAGCCTAACCTCCTGTATGATCTGTTCTGCACACAGATTGAAAAGGTATGGAGATCCTATCTGGCATCCCTGGTATACATCCTTCCTGATTTTGAACCATGCAGTGTTTCCTTGCTCTGTTCTAATGACTCTCTCCTGGTCCAGGTATAGGTTTTACATAAACACAATCAAATGGGATCCCCACTCCCATCAGAGTTAGCCTCAGGTTGTTATGATCCACACAATCAAACGCCTTTGCACAGTCAATGAAACACAGATAAACATTACTCTGGTAATTCTCTGCTGTCAGCCAATATCCATCTAACATGAGCTATAACATCCCTAGTACCATGGCCTCTTATAAACCTAACCTGCACATCTGGCAGAGTTCTCTGTTGATGTGCTGTTCCAGTTGTTTTTGGATAATTTTCAGCAGAATGTTGCTTGCATGTGATATTAATATTGTTCGATAATTTCTGCACTCTGTCAGGTCACCTTTCTTGGGAATGGGAACAAATACATATCTCTTCCAGTCAGTTGGCCAGGTGGTCATCCTCCCGAGTTCTTGGCACAACTTGTTGAGTGCATCCAGGACAGCGTTTGTTTGTTTGTTGAAATATGCCAATCGGTAGGGCCTTTTTTTGTTCGCTAATTATTTCAGAGCAGCTTGAACTTTTCCCTGATTCATCACCACAGGCTCTTGTTCATACATTGTTTCATGAAATTCTGTGTCAGCCAATTCCTTTTGGTACAGTGTCTATTTGGTGACTGTGTATTTCTTCCATCTTCTTTTAATGCTTCCAGGATCATTTAATATTCTGCCCAAAGCATCCAGTAATTGCAACTCGAGACTTGAATTTGTTCTTCAGTCCTTCAGCTTAAGAAATGTTGAGTGAGTTCAGCCCTTTTGATTTTCTGACTCCAGCTCTTCGCACATTATAATACCTTACTTTTTCTAATAGACATTAAGCTTTTAAAGATGCTTAGAACACTTTGTTCTATTGGAGATTAGCCTCTTTGATGCAGAATGCACTAGACACTTAAGAGGTTTTATTTATTCTAGACTTAACTATTCTGCTGTCTTTCCAACGATGTGGAAATATTAGGGGAGAAAACAAAACAATCAGCTTTCCTAAAATTAGTCCCTTAATTTAAAACTATTTTAATTTGGACTTTCATACATACTAATGTGCCTTTTAAAAAATAGAAACATTGTATTTCTTTCTAGTGTCCTTCCAAAGAATGCATTGGTTGAAATTTGTCCAGAGAAGATTTTTTTCTAGGCATTTTTGCTAGTTAGGCAAGCACTTGGCTCTAAGTGAGAGCAGAGCAGTCTGAAGTCATCTAAGGTAGCATAGATTGGAGGACCCCTTGGTGCCCCAATGTTAAACTCTCACCAAAAGGTTGGCAGTCCAGACTCACCAGCAGCTCCCCAAGAAGATTTTTCAGCTTTGAAAACCGTGTGGGGCAATTCTTCATCCAACAGACAGAGGGGCTATGAGTCAGAATAGAGCTTATGGTATGGGATGGGTTACCAGTTATTCACTTCAGTAAATAAGAGTGAAAGGGTATCAAAGCGTGATGCCATAGTTCCTAGGTTTGCACTACTTAGTTACTTACAAATCCTCAGATTGTGTGGGTTGACACAATGGCTGCAGCAATGGGCTTGAGTGTGTCAGACATTGTGAAGATGGCACAGGACAGGTCAGGGTTTACATCTGTTGTTCATATGGTTGCTATTGTTGTGCCCAACGGATTAAGAGACATATGCCTGCTGGATTATAAGTGATGCCCTTTATTCGCTGCACATTGCGAGGTCCCAACAATAAAGCAGGATTCCCCACTCCCCTAGCTTCAGCTAGGTGCTTTTATATCTTCATTTCCCCCTAGAAACTGAGCTATGTGGGCCCAGGCTACAATATTCTGCTATTGACATATTTCTAAGGGTACAGTGACATAGTCATGGGTACAGTGCAAAACGTCTACATCTTGGATTTATCAAGGGTACAGTGCAAAAGGTTTACATCTTGGGTTTATAAACACTGTTGCTGTTGTTAATTGCTGTCTATCTGTAGACAACTCATAGCGACCTGAATGAAAGACCTGAAAACTTGTAGAACTTTTTATCGTTTCTCCACATTCATAGAGTTTCCGGAGGCAAGCTCTTTGGAAAGTGGATGTCACTCCTACTTCCAAGCTTGTTTTAACTGGGAAGCTCCACCAAACACTGTCCACCATGGGTAACCATTTTCGCATTTGACACATCTTTGTCACAGTGTTTAGCATCACAGCAACCATGAGTTACCTCTCTGCAGCAAATGGACAGACCAGGGCTATACCACTTAGAAGAATGTTTGACCAAAAACAATTAAAACCAGGCCTGAGGGCCGCAGATTAAAATCACCCACCTTTGGCTTGGTAGCGTAACTTTCTATCCACTAGGCCAACTGATCTCTCTCTCTGTTGTTGTTAAGTGCCGTTGAGTCATAGATGATCAAAGCAACCCTCTGAACAAAAGACCTGAACACCTGCATAACTTTCATCATTTTTCTATGTTCATAGAGTTTCCAGAGGCAAGCTATTTTGGAAGTGGATGCCACTCCTGTTTCCAAGCTTGTTTTAATCAGGAAGCTCCACCAAACACTGTCCACCAACACTGTAGGATCCGGCTGCAGCAGATGACTTCCAAACTGGATTCCAGCCCCATACTGCTGACCAAATGCGTTTTTAAATAAGAGGCTGAATCAGATCAACTCACACCCATTGGCAAGTCAACATTCCAACCTAATCTTCACCAGAACCAGCAAACAAACCTCTGTAGAATCTGGCTGCTTCAGACAACTTCCAGCCTGGATTCCAGCAACTACTATTTCAGAAATAGGTCAGGACAAAACTTTAAGGCTCGGGGCAGAAATTTTCTACACACAATGTAGAATGTCACCAGGATTTGGGTTTGTTTACTCAAATGGAGTGAGTGCTACATAAAATGGAGTCTGGCTTCTCACTACGAGTAGTACTCAACAGGACCTACCAATATACCTAGTAACAAGGGAGCTCTGGTGGCCTAGAGGTAAGAAGCTGCACTACAATAGCAAAGGCACATGGTTTTAATCTCCCAGTTCCTTCGCGGTGAAAAGGCAGGATAGATAATCTCCTATGGGATTAACTTCCTCTTAAAACCTGCTAGAGGGTCAGCTTTTGGTTGGCTTCACAGGAGGACACGCAACAATAACAGTATCCGGAGTAGACAACTAAGGACTGGGAACTTGGAAGCAGGGCAAGCACTGTAGTTGGAGGGCACTTCTGGGAAGGAGTCTGTGGAGGAGGTTGATCTGGGATTGGAAGATTAAGTGGGATGGGGTAGCAGGGTGCTCTGCAGAAGGGCCAAGAAGGGACACAGGTGTGCACGAGGAAGTTGTCTTAAGGAGCATGAGGATGTGTGGGTGATCAAGGTGGATTAGTGCCCAGCTGCTGATGAGGGAGGTTCTGAAGGAGCTTAATCTTAAATTTTGCAAGCATGTTTCCTTTGGAAGACTGTTGGAAGGAGCAAGAAGATCCACTTATTCTCACTAAATCAGGAAATGGAGTTAGCCACAACAAGAAGTTTATCAAATACCTTCCCCAAACCTGCATATTCTCACCCAGTGTCCCTGGATATATGGAAACTCACTGGGGGATTGATCCATCTAAGTATGTACAAGGTTTCTATTCCCTGTGGTTCTTTTCCTGGTGACATTCTGCCCCTCACAGGCAATCTCATCAGAAGTGCATTATGAAACATCAGGGCAGTGGATGAGGGAGAAAGCCAGGCAACTTGGAAGCTGGACATCTCAGCAGATTCTTAGAGCAGAGCTAAGAGTAATCCACTCTTCCATTTCTGAGCATCATCAGAAGGGCCTGGGGCTCGGTTCTCCCTTCTGATTTCTTCAGGGTGTAAAGCAAGATTTACCCCCTTTGGCATAGGGTAACTACTAGTGATGAACAACACCAGGGAAAAGGGAAGAGGAAACCAACACCTCCATGATGTGTATTTTGTTATTTACCAACAGAAAGCAATATGATAAGGCAAGCATTTATTTTTTTAAAAATGCTTTTGTCCTTGCCTCTGGAAGCAAATGCAATGTTAACTTCATCACTGAGATCAATTTCATGTAGAAAATGCTGTCCTTGGACATTAAGACATTACCCTTCCTCCTTCCTTTGTGATCACCCAAGCCTTTGGCTCTTTTCTGAATGCTCCTAAGAGATGTCAACATTGTTCCTCGTCCCACCACCGGATCCTGATGAATTGTTCTAATCCACTCTCTAGTGCAAGAGACACTCTCTCAATTTCTCTTTCTGCTAGATGATTCTGTTGCCCCTTATTCCAGTTCTTTTGGCAGCTGTACCTAATCATTTGGGAAAAAGAGGGAAAATTAAAATTAAAATGCTTTGCAGCAAAAATTACAAAATGTACATACCTCTTAAGGATGAGGAATGGATTAAAAATTCTGACCAGGGATTCCCCCTCCACTCTCAAACACCCCTCAAGCTATGATGAAGCAGTATTGCAGCCACAGCTACTATTCATCATGCCTTTACTGACAGACTTTCAGTCCATGGTGAAGTGTGTCACAGAAACAGATCTGGTGCTGGAGTCGACCTGGTTTCAAATCCAGGCCAAGAACTTACTAAGTGTAGGGATTAGATAGCAAATTTCTCAGCTATAAAGTATCCTAATTTATAAGTACTGAGCTATATAATCCTTAATTTAGTAATCAATGTTAACACTTTTAAATATTATTTCATCCTACAATATATAGATAGGGAATAATTTCAGAGGTGGCAATTTAATTTGCCTACATGACACAGTTAAGAAGTGACAGAGCCAGGATTTGAACCTCTGCCTGATTTTAGGACCTGTGCCTTAAACTGACGTTTTATATAGCTGCTTCTAAAAAGGCAACCACAAAACTAGAAAATATGTGCTCCTTTAAAAGTGTTCGTCCCTTTTAATGAGTTAGTAAGATATAAAACTGTTATTTGGGAAACCCCAAAGGGCAGAAAAATGATAAAGAATAACATATAAATCCAGGACTGTACATCAAATGTATAACCATGTTTCATGGAAACAGCTTAATGATGAAGTAAGTTGTTGAAGAGTTTCAAGTAATAGAATCGCTTAGGATGGTGATTCCTTTATCTCTCTTAGAGTGCTTATGTACTTCACAGGGAACCAGCCCTGGTGGTGTAGCAATGAAGTACTTGACTGTCAACTGACTGAAGCTCACCAATCACGCAGGAAAGATGTGGCATCTGTTGGTAACATTGGAAACCTTGTGGGGCAGTTCTACTGGGCCCTAGCGCATAACTAGGGCAATGGGTTTGGGTTTCTGGTTTCCATCCCTTATGGAGGACACTGAAAAAAAAACAACAAACCTTTAGAAGACACTCAGAGCTTGTATAACAATGACTAAAAAGGTTCCGTCTTCTCCTAACCATGTTTCTTGTCAATGTGATACATCATTTTTACCATCTGCTATGGTCTTAAGCCAGTCCAGACCTTTGGCTGGAAAGCTTTTGCAGTATCCTGCCCACCATAAAGGGCCTTCAATGGACTGCTGTCTACACAGCCTCTAATCCAAGGGGTGTTTTGTGCATTGACCCCTCCTGCCTAGTGCCATACTTTCAAATGAGGAAGGGTGATGTCTGCACCTAGGTAGGGCT